CTTCCTCCTCCTTGCGTCCTTACTGTGGATGTTGACTGTTGTCACGCTGCGGACGCTTGCGCTCCGTTGTTTCAACTGTTCGGTGTTCGGCCAACCAAAACGGAACAGCAGACGGCGACCCGAAACAGAAACGAGAACCAGCAGCGGCAATGCAGCACGGAACCGCACCGAAAACCACGCGATCCAGAATCCCCCGCAACGGAACATGAACTGACCCCACAAAGAACAAATAAAACGGAGAAACAATCGCTCCCCGAGTTCTTGCGCATCGTATCGAAGTCCCTTCTCCCATCCCTCCTCTCATGCACCCATCCGCCGCCGCCGCCGCCGAGGAAGAGGAGGAGGAACACGAGGAGGAGGAGGAGGAGGAGGAGGAGGAGGAGGAGGACAGGGAGACCCGGGGGACGCGCAGAGTCTACTGCCAGCCAAGGAGCTGTGCAGGGGGGGCACGTGCAGCATCAAGAGCGTCTTGCGGCTACCCTTCCTCTGGTGCACCCTGTAGGGGGCTGAGGGTTTCTTTTTGGACGCCCGAAATGGGTACGGAAAAAATGGGTACAATGCCCAACAACAAATGTCGTCCCAAACCAACAGCGGGGCCGCTGTTGGGCAGGCGGCCTTCTGTCTCGAATGGACACAGGCCGCGGCGGCGTGGACAGCGAATCCTCTTCAAAATTTAACAGGAACTGCTGTTCGGCATTGTACCCATTCTTTCCGTACCCGTTTCGGGCGTCCAGAGGGTTGGCGGGGGCCCCACACACCTCTCACGCCCGCTCCCGCACCCCCCCCCCAACGGCGCAGGCCGCTGGTGGGGGTCTCGGGGAGGGCGGCGCCGCCCTGAGAGAACCATGCCCGCACCCTACAGCCACGGCGCTGCTGCAGGGAACGCCGAATCAAGAACGAAGGGGCTCATCTGGCCACGGCGAGCCTCGGCTTCGCAGGTGTCCGAGGGCCAGGCCGGCCCGAGGGCCGGAGGCCCTCCCGGCCCCGGAGCGGCGCCTGCGTCGAGGCAGGAGGGCGAGGGCGCGAGGGGAGGGAGGAGGAGAGGAGGAGGCGAGGGCACGAGAGGAGGAGGAGGAGGAGGAGGGGGAGGAGGAGGAGGAGGAGGAGGAGGAGGAGGAGGAGGAGGCTACAGTCGGCCCCTGTCGTTGGGCTGCGCGAGGAGGATGCAAGGGCCCAGGACGCCCACGTCGGAGCTTGTCGAGCGGAGCGCGGCCAGCGAGAGTGGCCAAGGACGGACCGAGGAGGCGAGGATGCAGGGGTACCCTTGGGAAGGTTGCCCCTCCTTACTGTGCGGGTTGACTGTAGCCAGGAGAAGGGAGGCAAGATAGATAGGAGAAGGACAGTCAGGCGAAGGATACTTATGGACACCCGAAATGGGTACGGAAAGAATGAGTGCAATGCCCAACAGCAAATGTTGTCCAAAACCGACAGCGGCCGCTGTTGGGCAGGTGGCATTTTGTCTTCAGTGGACACAGGCCGCGGCGACGCCGACAGCAACTCCTGTTCAAAACGAACGGGAACTGCTGTTGGTTTGTGTGCCAATTCTTTCCGTACCATTTCGGTCGTCCCGAATGGTCAGGAGGAGGATCGCAGGAAAACAGTCAAGATAGTCAGGAGAAGGATCGTCAGGAAAGCCGTGCAGACACGTTTATATAACTCTGCTTCCCACCTTTCCCGTGCGGTGCCCTACCGGGCCCTGGGCCGTGCTGCGCCTTTCCCGTGCCCTTACCGCCCGGCCCTTTGCCTTTGCCCTTGCCGAAGCCCTTGCCCTTGGCCGCCTTTACCCCCATCGGCGAGCCCTTGCCGCCGCCGTACGGCATGATCCGCCCCTCTGACCCCCGGAGTACGCAGCCGTCGAGGTGCTCCACCACCCAGCGCCAAGTGATGTTTATCCGCGGCCCGACCTCCTTGTCCTCCCGCGGCACCCGGTGCTCGTAGTACTTCTGGAAGAGCCCCTCCATCGTGCAGAGGTCCCCGTCGCGGAGGAGCAGCTTCGAGAAGGCCTTCTGTCCATCTTCGTCTGGGGCGAGGGCCTTCAGCTCAAAGCGCCTCTCGTGGCCCAGGGACAGCGATATGATCGGGCAATCCTGAAACTTCCCAGCGAAGAGCCTCTCGTTGTCGGCGTGCCAGGAGACGCTGTGCCCGCCGTTTTCGTACAAGTTCAGATTACAGCTGTTCGGCCACTCTTCCCTGGACACGAGGTGGCAGAGCGGCATGACGACCCCCATGAGTCGGGTGTCGCCAGAAGCGCCCCCGGCCCACGGCGCCCCCAGGGTTTCGCAAGGAGGCCCCCACGGCCCCCAGGGCACCTCCCACGAGGCCCAGGCGGCCCTGGGGGGCCCCAGCATGGAGCGAGAAGCTGAGAGCACCTCGGGCCAGGGGCACCCGTAGCATCCCCCGAATGAGGTCGGTCATCCACTCGGGAAAAGGGATCGGCGCGATCTGCATGCCGCCGTAGCCGTACTTGCAGGTGCAGGGCGCGGCGGACATCCACGCCGTCCGGCCGGGGAACCGCCGCTGGCAGAAACAACAAAAGCTGTCGGCGGTCCGCGCGGATTTCTCGGATCGGCGCTGGAGTAAGGCGAAGCCAGGACGAGGATAAATCCGGGTGAGGATAACTCGGGAATCTCTGAGACCCGGCGGCTCTGGAAGGTGTCTCGGGCGCCGCGGCCTTCGCAGAGCGCTCCGGAACGCTCTGAGAGCATTCCAGAACGCTCTGGAACGCATTGATCCTCGTCCTGGCCCCACCTCCCTTTCTCTCTACATCGATGTTTGTGTGTATATGTGTGTGTGTGGTGTGTGTGTGTGTGGCTGTGTGGCTGTGTGGCTGTGTGGGTGTGTGTGTGTGTGTGTGTGTGTGTGGCTGTGTGGCTGTGTGGGTGTGTGGGTGTGTGGGTGTGTGGGTGTGTGGAGCCCCCTGGTGGCGCCTCCTGGCCGGGGATGGGTCGACCTCTCTCTCCCAGGTGTTGGGGCGGTTTGTCCGACTGGGCCGAGGCCTCGGGGCCCCACCCTGGAGATGCGCGATGGGGGGGGGGCGTCCACCTTGGACAAGGGGTGCGCCCGAAGGGCCCCCTCGGGGTGTACCCCAGATTTCGTAATGAAAGGGAGGGGGTCTGGACCCTCCAAGACAAGCCATTGCAGACCTCCCCCGTGGGAGAACCCTCCCAAAACATCGCCCCCAGACCCCCCCCAGGCCCTCCAGGAGAGCCCGGAAGAGACCCCCCCCCCCCCGAAATGAGACCCCCTCCTTTATTACGAAATCTGGGGTCCCCACGAGTTCATCCTCCTCCCTCCTCCTCGCGTCGCTCATGACCCTCCCAACGCGCTCCTCCTCCTCCCCCTCCTCTCCTCCTCCTCCTCCTCCTCCTCCTTCCTCCTCCTCCGCCTCCTCCTCCTCCTCCTCCTCCTCCCCTCCTCCTCCTCCTCCTTCCGCTCTAAACCTTTTCCCTCCTCGTTCCTCCTCCTCCTCCTCCTCCTCCTCCTCCCTCCTCCCTCCTCCTCCTCCTCCTCCTCCTCCTGAGCGGCCAAACCTTTCGGACTCAACGGAGGGCTCAGAGAAAAAAACCTCGCCTGCGACTGGCCCCCCTCCCTGGCGCGCTCTGCGCGCCAGGGAGGGGGGCCCGGCGCCTTCGGTGGCAGCTCGTGGGAGCACCCCATACCATCTCGTCGGCTCTTGCGCGAATCGACGCCAAATCGACGCGAAATCGACGCCAAATCGACGCCAAGTCGACGCCAAGTCGACGCGAAATGGGCGCTGTCTCCTCGACTCCCTGACGCGCATCGGCGCCGGTCGACGCTAAAGACGGCATACCAGGCTCCCACGACTTGCTGCCGAAAGCGCTCCTTCCCCACAAATTGGCGGCGCGCACAAGGGGGTGGAGGGAGGGGGGAGGCTCCTTAGAAGGAGGCTGCTTCTTCGAAGGCGCCGGCCTTACATCTATAGATGAAGCCCCCGTGTTCTAAGAAGTAGGGGTGCTTCTATCGAGGGCGCGCAAACATGGATTAGCGATCCATGGATTTGGCGCGCGGTCGCCAAATCCATGGATCGGGGGAGGTGCCCTCCCCAAAATGCGGCCTATGTCGCCTCGCTCGGCGGCGGGAATTCGCGATCCCTCATGGAAACGGGACCCGTCACTAATCCACGCCCCCATTGATCCATGTTTGCGATCGCCTGACTCGATCTTTTGACCGGAGAGCGAGGAGAAGGAGGGAGGAGAGGGGGAGGGGGAGGAGGAGGAGGAGGAGGAGGAGGAGGAGGAGGACGAGGAGGAGGATGAGGAGGAGGAGAGGAGGAAAGGAAGAGGAGGATGAGGGAGGAGGAGGGAGGAAGAGGAGGAGCGATCGCCTGTTTCTAAGACCCCCCCCTCCCCCGACCGCCCTCTGCGCGCGGTCGAAGAGAAGCCGCACGGCCCTCCGAGAGCTCGCGATTCCTGCCACGGCCCGTTCCCCGGGGCTTGCGCGGCATCGGCCCCCAGGTCTGCATGGGCTGTTCCCACGACCAGAGGCCCAACGCACCGCGCAGACCAGAGAATGACGGGCCTGCTTTTCCACCGCCACCACCACGGAGGGGGAGGGGCTCCTCCTCCACCTCCTCCTCCTCCTCCTCCTCTTCTTCATCCTCATCCACCCCCACCACCGGAAGTTGGAGGATGAGGAGGAAGAAGAGGGGGGAGAAGCACGAGGACGAGGAGCACGAGTACGAGGAGATTAGGGAGGAGAAGGAGGAGGAGGAGGAGGAAGGAGAGGAAGAGGACGAGGGAGGAGAGGAGGAGGAGACTAGGAGTAGGAGGAGGAGGAGGAGGAGGAGGAGGAGGAGGAGGGGAGGAGGAGGAGGATGGATGAGGAGGAGGGGGAAGGGGAGAGGGGGGGACGGGAGGAAGGGGGGTAGGAGGGGGAGGAGGAGGGGAAAGGATGAGGAGGAGGAGGAGGAGGAGGAGGAGGTAGGAGGAGGAGGAGGAGGGGGAGGAGGATTAGGAGGAGTATGGGGAAGAGGAGAGGAGGGGGAGGAGGGAGGGGAGGAGGAGGGGGAGGAGGGAGGGTAGGGGAGGAGGAGGAGGGAGGAGGAGGAGGAGGGCATGAGAGGAGTAGGGGAGGGGGAGAGAGGAGTAGAGTATGAGTAGGGGGGGGGGAGGATGAGGAGGCGGAGGAGGGAGGAGAGGTGATGAGTAGGATGGAGGGAGTGGAGGAGGAGGAGGAGGAGGAGGGAGAGGGAGGAGGGAGGAGGAGGAGGAGGAGGAGGGAGGAGGAGGAGGACCCCCTCCCCCTCCTACTTCTGCTGGTGGTAGCGGCGGCGGAAACGCACACAAGGCCCATCACGAAGAGGCCTCCCCCCAGGCGGCCCGCGGGCGGCCCCTCCGCCGGGACGCGCCCACCCCCTGCCCGCAGGCCTCTGCACTCTTGGCGTTTCGTCGGCCCTGTCCCCCCATACAGGGGGATGTTCGACGAAAAATGTTCGACGAAAAATAGGAAATATGTTCGACGAAAAATGGAGCATACTCCAAGAACACTCCAAGAACATGCCTCTAAACTCTTGGCGTTTCGTCGGGCATGTCCCCCATACAGGGGGATCTTCGACGAAAAATAGGAAATAATTTCGACGGAAAATGGAGCATACTCCAAAAACACGCTCCCAAATGGCAACAAACATGCGCCAACAAAAATAGTCCCCAGGCCATGTTTTGACTATTTTTGGGCTACGTTTGGGGTGTATGTTTTTAGCTTTCGTCGACCATCCCCCCTGTAGGGGGACGGGCCCGACTGAACTCTTGGCGGCGAGCGCGGGGGAGAAGCGAGAGGGGGCCGGCCTCCTCGGCGGGCTCGGGAGTCCCCGGGTAGGGGGCCGCGGGCGAGCCCTACCCCTACCCCCCAAGAGTTCTGAGGGGGAGGGCGGGGTTCACTTCGCTCGGGAGCTCCCGGTCGAGGTGAACCCCACCCTCCCCCTCAGAAATCGTGGGGGGCAGAGGTAGGGTTCGCCCGTGGCCCCCTCCCCGGGCCTCCTGAGAAGGCGAAAGCGCGAGGAACTTCTCGGAAGGCGCGAGGGCTTCCGAGAAGCCCCGCCGCCTTCTCCCTTCCCCCCCCTCGCTCGCCGCCGACACTTGGCGCGTCTCCGGCGCGCAAGAGAAAGGCCGGGGAGACGCAAGACGCGGGTTCGGGGGGACTGGGGTTGGCTCGACGGGGCCGTCGGGAGAACGACGGGTCCCAGACGGAAGTTTGGCGCGAGCTATGATTTCCGTTGCAGCCCTCCCGCGGAAGCTGAGCCGCCAGAAGCCAGGGCGAGCCCGCCAGACAGACAACGCCGGCAGACCCGACCTCCGGCGAACTCGAGTCTCTCACGTGACCCCGGCGGGGGTGCGGGGAAGAGCTGGAGGCTTGGAAACGGGCACGAACACCACAGCGGGGGGGGGCGTCCCCCGCGGGAGGGTGATCCTACATCGTGGTGTTGGTGGTAATCCTTCGGGCATCCGTGAGGTCCGAACATTACGGTCAGTCAAGCTGCTGCCAGAAGGAACGCTAAATCCGCCGACCCTGTCGGCGTGTGCGAGGCGGAAGTCTGGGTCCGTCGTCCCCAAATGTTCTCAAGAGACGATTCTTCATTCGCTTTGCCCTTCCATTTCCGGGAAACTCTCCCGAGACCCTCTTTGGCGCGCCAAGCTCGTCAGCTCGAGGTGAATCAAGCCGGGTCGCAATCGAAGTCGTAATTGAGTCGAAAGGAAGCCCTTCCCTTTGTTGAGCAGGGGCCCAACGTCCCGGCGGTCTTTTAGGCCTACTACGACATGTTCTTAGAGCCCCAAAAATGTTCGAATAGCAAAACATGTTCTCATAACTTAAACGCGATGTGTACTAACAAGACTGTCTCAGCCAGAAATGTTCTGAGAACATCTCGTACAGACCACAGAAGATTATGAGAACACTTTCGTGGGCCTATAGGCAAGCCTGGACGCTTCGCCACTGCTCGACTTTGATCCCTTCCCCACGGGGGGTGTCACGGCCCCCCTTCCCTATTCGGGCCAGCTTTGAAAAAAATGTGGTCCTCCTTCGGCAAATCAGGCCCAAGATTCTCCAAGAGGGACACCAGAGGGCCCAGAGTAGCCGAATGATTGCGCCAAGACGCCCAAGATGGCCTCCAGACGACCCAAGGCGCCTCGAAGACGTCCCAAGATGCGTCCGAAAGTCTGTTGGTTTTCGACAAACTTTAGCGTGTCTGCCGTTTTGGCTTCCCGACACTCCAAAACTGCCCAAGAGGCTCCAAAGATCGGCCCAAGACGGCTTACAAGGCCATCAAGAGGGCGCCGAGACAACCCCGAAAGCCTCCATGACAACCAAGAGGCCTCCAAGACGGCCTAAAACGGCCCCAAGAACGCCCCAAGAGCCCCAAAGGACGAACGCGAACCGCCATTTCGAGCTCACCGCCCTAAGAGATGCTTGGGAGGCCCCAAAGAGGCCCCCAAGAAGCACCCAGGAAGCCCCAAGACACTCTAAATAGGCTCTCAAGCGGTCTCCAAACTGCCTCCAGAGGCCCCCGACAGCCCTCCGAAGAGATCCCAAGAAGCATCCAGGATCCATGAGGATTCTGACCCACTACCCTGGCATGGTGCAAGCCACTAGCTCCGCCGCCCTCTGATT